AAAATTAACATCGTTCATTAAACCATCAATTAGTAGGCCTGACATTTTGATATTACCATCAAAAATTTTTAAACCATTAATAATTTGTGGTTTTGATTTCAAAAATGCATTTTTTATATTTTTCCCCATTATAGCACCATCCAAACTGTTAATAGTAAATTTTATAAAAGATCAGAAATATATAACAGATTTAAGTATTTCGAAAATACATCAAAAATATAAAAATAAATTTAAGTATTTCTGCTTGCAAAAATAAATTCAATTATACCTTAAATTTGAAATATTAATATTTGTAAAAATCTTTTGGCCTTTTACTGTGATTACATTTTTTTGTTTTAATAAAACAGCATTTTTTGACCATTCACTGAAATTTAATCCACGCAAATGTGTAATAGATAATCCTAAAATTGTCTTTGTACCAGTAATAATATTTTTTTTACTACTATATTTGACAACATCAGTTCTTAAATTCATGTTATTAAGTTTTCCTTGTAAATTTACATAACCTGAATTAAAAAATAATTATATTTCTTTTTTTACATAACGTTTTTAAATCCAATATTTTTGTTCTAAGAATATATTAATAAAAAAATTATTACAAAACCTGATAATATTAATTTATTAAAATGCCATTTGCTCTGAATTACTTGCGATTCATTTTTTTTAAGGGACATTTCAATTATATTCCTTATTTGTGCATCGGAAGATTTTATAGATGAATTTTTAGAACCTTTGATATTGTCAACTTCTATATTGTTAAACCAACAAGGGACACTTATTTCTTGAGGTTTAGTTTTACTCAATAGACTATATGAGATATTTGTCCAAGAATTGTAATATGGTATATAAAGAGATGTCTGTGAAAAAATAAATATTAAAATATTGTTAAATTATAATGAAATCAAAAATTTTCTTTCTATAATTATATACCTTTGAAATATTATTTCCTAATACAGTCATATTTTTTATTAGAATATTATTACCAGATATAATCATATTTTCATTAATTGTATAAATTTTCGAAGAGAACTTTTTCAAATTGTTATTATTTATATTTTTGATAATAGGTTCAGATGTAAAAGTTACATTACCTAAAATAAAAAACTTTGATAGAGTTATTTGATAAATTTCTACTATCACATACAATAAATACACAATTGACCTTGTATTATATAATTTTTTGAAGTATTGTATGTATCGTGAAAAATAGGTTTTAATATATTTAGCATTCCTATTTTTACGTTTCCCAAAATATGCTTTGAATGCAAATTTAGATGAACTTCTGGATAAGTGAAATTCAGTGGTCCATAGAAAAACTGTATACTGTTAGATTTTAATCCCATACCTATCATAATAATTATATAATTTTTAAAAATGATTAAGTTCCTGAATATTTTAATATTTAATGATAAAGCCTATTTTAATGTCATATTGTACTTAAAATTATCTTCATATTATTTATGGCAAAATTATTAATTTGAATTTTTACTTACTAAATGTTATATTATTTAAAGAAATTGGATCATCTACTCTAACAGCATTTTTCAAAAAATGATGTATATCTTCGCCATTAATAATTGTAGCATAAGTATTTCCTTTTGAAATTACATTGCTAACTGTAGTAGGAAATGGAAATTTAATTCTTACAGGAGTCTGAAGATTATTAATTTTTACACGTGTTGCATTTCTTATATCTTTAAAAATCTTTTTTTCTATCCACATGTTTAAAATTTTTTGAAATCCTATAGAAAGTTATTATAAGATAAGAAAATATATCACTCATCAAATCTTTAGTAAATCTTAGATAAAATTCTATTACCTTTTAGATTAAATCCTTTAATATCAGATGCTACAATATCTTTTATAGTAATTACACCTATGAAATATTTTTTTGACAAATCAACAATATTGATAGAAGTTGTTGTTTCGAAAATAGTAGAGTTTAACTCTTTTGCTCCAAATACTTGAAAACTTTTCAAATTTTCTACAGTCATATTTTCTATCATTACTTCAGATAATTTTATGTTTGAAATATTTGCAGTTGAGGTGCATAAGGAAAAGTTATATCTATAATGTTCACATAAACAATTATTTTTAATACAAATATATAATATATCCCACATACAATAACATTAGTATACATACTTTGGAATCAATGATTGTATGTAAGCTGACTGTGGTAATATCACATTATATATTGTTTGTTTTTTTCCTGAAATGACCACTTTATTATCAGAATGAGCTGTTACCCAATTATTATAATCTTTTATTGTAACATTTCTCCAGATCTATAAATAATATTAAATTAAATATTTATTCAAAAATGAAGTGGAATAAATAGAAAAAACAAATATATTGCTTTCATACCGCATTATTGTTGGAAAATATTAAATGCATTGGGAAATTATTATATATTAATATTCCATTGTCTAAAATATTTTTTAGAGATTTGCCATTTTGCCTGTACACATCTTTAGTTCTCAATATATTTACAATTGTGATATTATGGAAATTCCGATTTCCGTTTATTTCCATAAAATTTGGCACGTGTTTTACTGGCATTAATAAATTTGCACTTTTACCTTTCAATCCTCCTTTTAAATTAATAAGCCCTTTTACTTTTACTTTTGATGCTGTTATACATCCTGATATTTTAGATGGAGGTCCATTTAATGGTAGTAAAAATCCATCTTTCTTTAAATGTAATTCTTTTACTCTAATCTCTTTAGCATATACAGTTTTCATTATAGAATTTGTAGCAATATCTAATGGCATAACACTATAAACGACATCTAATTCAACAAAAATATGATCACCTAAAAAATAATATATATTGATAACATTTAAACATAATTATTATTAAAATAGAAAAAAAAGAAAATGATCATACTAACCTGTAATCATTTGATTACCACTAGTTTTTAATGTATTTTCTTGTAAATCTAATAATGAAACATCATTAATTAATCCTTTGAGATCAAAATTTTTAGGTGTAAATGCAGGAATAGGACATTTGAAATTATCAATGTTCTCTATTTTTAAACTTGTAAATGTTAAATTCTGATTAATATTTTCTATGGATCTTAATTTGGACAATGGATTAATTTTTTCTTTTATTATTATATTATTAACTTTACATAGTGATTTGCATGTTACTTTTACTTTATGAGCACGTAGTGTTTTAAATTGATTATTATTATTGTTTATTCTTTGATTTAAAGAATCATTTAATGCTTTTAATTTTGTAATTAAATAATTATATTGTCCTGTTAAATTTTGCCATTCTTTTGAATCGTATCCATTTATCTACAATTATAATTTATTTTATATTACATTATATATATATATATATATATATATATATGATCTAGAAAATAAATACTTACATTTTGAGTATAAATTTCACGTATATAACCATTTAATATGGGCAATGGTTTTTCTATAATTATTCCAGCCTTAGGTATTCTCTGTGCAATAGTTTTAGCTTGAAAGTACCAAGATTTTATTTCATTTTGGAAACCAAGTAAAGATTTTCTTTCACCCCATCTTGGTTTCATTAATTTCCATGTAGATATTCCATGTTTTATAATTATTAATTCATTTCCATAGATATAAACAAAATAAATATCATTGACTTCTGATACTTTAACATTTAATTGTACAAATCTCCATCCATCATATTGATAAACTGTTATAACATTCTTATTGAGTAATAATAGTATGATAGCTCTTTTAACTATTAATGGTATTATCTTTTCCGCGACAGAAATTTTTTGAAATGGCACGAAATACCCGTGTACTTCCTTGTACACGACTGTATATTGATGTGTAGATAAGCATATAAAATATTCTTTGAGATGATCCTTGATTATATCAAACGTCATAATAGCATTACTAGCAGGTAATGTCTGAATTATCATAAATTTATTAAAATGGAAAAAATGACGTAGTATCACTGTACGAGATCCAGTACAAATAAGATTCATAAATCCTTTATTATGAAAGAACGTTAATTTTTCTGCACCAAAATTCAAAACTTGTATAAAATCAAAATGTTCTCCAAGCCAAATATATATCGATATATTATGACGGGATGCTATGCCTAAATATAAACGATTCATATAATGCCATGTATATATATCGGTTATAGCAGGTATTTGAAGAGTTTGCACAAAGGATAATGTATATGCAGTCCTATAATTAAATTTCAATATTGTTATACTCTTATTGAAAGTCTGAATTACTACTACAGTATTATGCATACAGTTGTCTACTATTATACGCATGCCATTATATTGTGGATATGATTTAATATGATCAAATTTGTTATTCTAAAAAAGAAATAATTTTGTATTAATAATACATGATTTATCAATATAGTATATCAAGTAATTACGTACATTTAATTGATACAACGACATTCCATTAGAATTAATGCCTGCCATAAACCAAAATAAATGGTTATTAAATTGAAGCGGAAAAAATATCGTATGTTTAAAGTCTTGTACATTAAACATTGATATTTCATCGAAACCTTCCAGAATATTAATAGCTGTAAAAAGAATACTTAACATAAAATTCATTTCACGATCATTTCGTCTTTCGATAATTACGTTCATAATTCCCGCGCTTTATTCTATACTAAAATGTTCAATATATGTTTTTACATCAATTGTGCATAGTATAATACATATATTTTGATAAAGAATGGCGATATTCTTTAAACATTTTTATATTAGATATAATGCTTAATTATTGTGATATAAATATGTCTAAAGTAAATGTGTGTATGATTATGTTAAATAAATAGTTTTAAAAGGAATTTTTTCGAATAAATGCATCTCGATTTCTAGGTACATTTTCGATTCATGTTTATATTATATAAATATTATTTACAAAATCTTTAACCTTGAACCCTTAAACTGAACTCAAATTAATATATACATTCGTTTCTTTTTCTTTTTAAAGTTAGTATTATCATTAGAAGACATCAATAAATATATAGCTACAAGTAAATTATTTCCATGTCTTATAAATTATTTAAATACAATGACTTTTTACGAAAATATAAAAGAAAATTTAACGACACAAATATACGAATTAGAAGTATTACAATCAGTTTATCCAGAAGAATTAGTCGTCAGCGATCACGGAATTTTAGCTGACATAAATCATTTTATTGAATTTCCTCAAGAAGAACCTCCACGAAGATTGGAATATATTATAAAGATTTCTGAGAATAATGTAAGATTATAATACTGATCGCAATATAAATGAAGATAACATTTATATATTTTATTTAGGCAACAATTGAGCTGCAAGTATGTCTGCCAACTAATTATCCACAAGAAAAACCTGAAGTTTATGCGAGAACTTCCATTTTAGATCGAACTCAACAATTACTTTTAAATGAAGCACTTGCAAGTTTTTTAAATGAGAATGAAAAAGGTGAGCCTTGTATATATTCATTGATATCATGGTTACAAGATAACATAGAGAAATATCTTAAAAATTCTAATGTGAATAAAGAAAAAAATAATGAAAATAAAAAGAAAAAACATGAGCAAGGTAATGAATTAATATTTGCTAGATATTGGATCTATAGTCATCACATATATAATAAACTTAAAAGAAGAGATATAGCAAATTTAGCAAAAGAGTATTCTCTCACTGGATTTTGCCTGCCTGGGAAGCCAGGAATTATTTGTATAGAAGGTACAGATACAAACTGTGAACTCTGGTGGCAAAAGGTATAATAATTATATATAATTATATTAATTATATCCAAAGTAATTACAAAAACTGTAAAGCTAATCTAATTTAATGTACTACATTTTACATTCTAATTTTCAGATAAAAGTTATGAATTGGCATAGAATTCTCATAAAATTAATAGAAGATGAGATTTTAGACAATGAAAAAAATATAAATACCATGCGTAAATACCCTAACTTTCAAGAAATATCTTTTCCTAGTTCAGATCGTCATAATGATATGGGACAGTTACTTACATATTTAACTGAGCATCAATCTCAACATGTTTTTAATAACATTTTTGGTATCAAAGAAAAATTTACCCATTAAGTAATCATTTAAAATATGTAAATCTATCTTTTTAAATAAATATATTAAAAACAAAAAAAACGAATAATATTGCAGCAACATACCAACATTATTGTTAAATGAATCATGACCTTGTCTTTTATGGCGATTGACTAGATTACTTATATTTCCAGTATATGAATTTATTTCCTTATCAATTTGATGTAATGTGTTTAGATTTAATGATTGATATTCTGAAAGGATAGGAGTAAATTAATAATTCCTGGTTAGATAAACAGAATTTTGCACATACCATATTTTGTCTTTAACTTTTCAAAAAATTCAGTTAAATCATTTAATGCAGTTGTTAAAACTTCTGAACCATAACTTAAACGACAATCAATTATAACACATATAAATACGAATATTATTCGAAAATTTGTTACCATTTTGCTAAACTTTACTCATTGAAAGTAATACATTACAAATGAGTTGAGTTTACAAGATCAATTAAGGACTATTACAAGGTAATATGTAATGTTTACATTTTTTGTAAATAATCAGGTCACATGGAGTAAGAATATCATGATACTTTATTGATATTATGAAACTGAAGGAATATGATACAAATGTTAAACGAATTGTCTTAGTGTAACAAATAAAATAATACAAATATATAAATAATAATCTATCTGACAGTAGCATAACGTAGAAATTCATTAGTAAGAAATTGTCCTGGCATATAAGGAGCAGGTGGTCCAAGAACGTCTTGTGCTGGAGAATGAACTTTAATTTGTCTCATATGAGTATCTCTTCCATTTTGATGATTGCTTATAACAGCTATCTGAATCATAAATGTTCTAATGGGCCGTTCATTTATATCTTTTATAGGAATAACCACCCATCCACTTGGTTCATTAAGATCCATGACTTCAACTTCTTGAAGGTCATTGAAATTTGTACCTGCTCTAATACTTATTCTAAAAATATATTTATATAGAAAGTCAATTGAAATTTTAATCGTAATATTATTTTACCATAATAATCTCCTTACCTACTGGGAGTATAGCTTTCATCAAGCTTGTAATCTGTATAAATACATATGTCTCGTATTGTTGTTTTTCTTTTGAATTGTATATTTACCAAATGTGGAAGTTGCCCATCAGACTGCCAATATGTTTCTGTGATATCATCTCGCAGTTGATCGACACCAAAACCCGGTTTACAACTAGATAAACTCCATATTGCATGATTACCTACTTCTCTCACTCTACCAGCTAATTCTTCTTGCACAGGATCTGTTTCTCCTAATGATAAAATATTAAAGTTACACAATGATATACTTAAATACACAAAAAAAGTAAACATCTACCTGCGTTATTAGCTTTGCTACTCATTGTTAAATTATGTTTTATTCAAAAGACATTTTTTTCAATACAACGATTTTATATATATTTTTTTTTTTTTTTTTAGAAAAAATGTTTACATTTTTTTTATATGTATTAACAAAGCAGTGCAATACGATAACATAAATCTGTAGCGACACGGTGGATCGTGTCGATATTTGGAACTAATCTTTTTCGATTAGTAGTTAATTTCTTTACATGGTCAGTAGTATCCTGTGTAACGGACGTTTAAATATGAAATTACAAACAGTTCGATCGTATTTCCTAATTCTTTCAATAGTATATTAAACATTTTTCTATTCGCATTAAAAGGAAAATTCAATAAAAAATATATCAATTTAACGGATATTATCCTGTGAACATTCCATAAGTATGTGCATATACATATTATTGTATTAATTTTGTTATAGTAACTATTATACATCTATCGTATCAATTAACTTTATTTTTAATACATTTTTTTATAATATCTTATAATAAAATTACTTGATAATATATTATAATACAATTCGGGCATATTTTTACTCATAAGTTCGATCGTTTTCTCCTCGATTAGTTGAATAAATTTGAATAGAAGCATATTATTATGATTATAACGATTTAATTCTTACGTAGCTCCAGTAGAGGCGCTGAAAACAGTGAATCAAGCTAATACATGGGATATATGTCGAGTCTGGCGAAAACGTAACGTTACTCTTGCACGCAAATTGAGTTACGCCTCCCTGTAATCGTGCGGTGAACGCCTAAGCGCGCGTCGCGTGTGCTTCGTGAAAGTGTACGTCGTCGTCGTTGCGTGATAACTAAACGCTTATTGGAATATGATGATCTGATTGAGATTCAACATGACTGTGGACTTCGCCGATTATTTTTGGGTGAGTGTTAAGTAAATTTTTGTTATGATATTTATTGGTAATACGAATCAGAGAAAGAAGAGGACGCGTTCATTTGCTCGATCATCGTTTGTTCATCGTTGCGTTCGTGTTAGAGCTCGCGCGCGTCGAATAGGTGAACGCAAATCGTTTAGGTTAGGTACAATTAATATATGGTATCTTTGCGTTCTCCATTATATCTCGTTTACTTATAACAGTTCCAATGGAATAAAAAACAAAAAGAAAAAAAAAGATGACACGTCTACAAGGTGCAATGATGATGATGACGACGATGACGACAACGACGACGACGACGACGACAATAACGACAACGACGATGACGACAATGAATCAAAACGTAAACTGACATAATTCTTTTACTTTAACATTTCTTTATACATTTGATCGAGAGAGGAAGAGAGAGAGAGAGAGAGAGAGAGAGAGAGAGAGAGAGAGAGAGAGAGAGAGAGAGAGAGAGAGAGAGAGAGAAAGAAAGATCATTTCTTCATCCCGTTAAGCGAACTTTCAAGCTTTCTCTAGTCGCTTATTTTCTGTTGCATCTTGCATACATAGGGAGTAACAGGACGATGCACGCGCTTACATATATGTGTACATGTGTGCACATACATGTCGTATGTACATACGTACGTATGATCACGTACATGCCCATGCGCATACGCATATATCTAACGCACCACGTTCGTTTGTTCCGTCCTTGATCGTGCAATCTTCCAACCAACGAGAAGCGACTTGTTCAAGCTTATACAGCCACCGCGAATAGTACATGCCTTTCATTTTATCCATTGAATTTATCTTAGAAATTAGGTTTTTATTATCTTATATAAAACGTATTACAGAATTTAAAGATCCAAGAAAAGTACCTATGTATTAAGAAAAGTTATCTCCTCAAATCTGCATTTTATTTAAATATATTGGATTACGATGTGTAGCTTCGAGATGATAACAGTGTGAAGTTTATAAATGTGAAAGTAAATGATACATACCATCACATTTACAATGGTAATTTGATCTTTGACATATGCCAATACCACCATGAAGTCATTAACTATATTATATGAGTTTCAACGTAACTTCGTGTCTATCGTTTTTGTCCCAATTTTTTTTTCTATGCTTCTATTGTCTTGCTTTCAAATGTTTCTTGTGTTTTTTTCCTTTTTTATGTTTCTTTATTTTAAATCTAAAGAATACATTTCAAGGAATATAATTTCAATAGACAAGGATGGAAATATCAAATTTTATATATATATATATATATATATATATATATATATATATATTAAGAATGTTCACAAACTGTAACCTTATTGGTAGAAAAAATTGTCTTTCAAATTTATTGTGTTATCAAGAAGCAGTATATATGTATCTCGAAAACAACGTTGGCTTTGTGATTATAACGTATTATTTTTGATTGTATTCTTTCAAAGAATACACTGTCACATTCTGATTTTAATGAGAAGAGATGTATTTCCTATCGCGTCATATTAAAGGTCCGCTTTACGATACGGATAAGATAGCGATAGTGTGTTGTCTCTGTTTCCTTTTTTACTAATCATGTTGAAAAACCAAGTCAATTTCAGTTAAGATTTCAAATTTTAAACGAACACCTCCAATATAATATATAGTCAATATTATTTATTTTATTATTCTGCGTGTGTTTGGATCAATTATTCAATAATTTTATATGCAAAAAATGATTATCATTACCACCGATTATTAATATCAATATATTTATTATACATTATTATTATTATTATTGTTGTTAATAATATCGATATTATTATTGTTATTAATTATATTGAATACAATTAAACAATCACTACAATAATATAATTATATCTTATGAATCTCTTATTACATTTTATCGTTATTCTCGTATTTTTTATTTACTTTTTTTTTCGTGATCAAGGTTTTTATTAAATCTTTTAAATAGTATTACATTGATATTATAATTTTTTTTTATAAATTCCAATGAAACATATATTTTTAATATTTCCTTCTATTATTTTCCTGAGTTGACTAAACGCGGGAAAAATAATTATTTTTGAAATTGACTTCAAATAAATTAAGATTTATACGTTTATTCGAGAATAAAATTTTAAATATATTTCTTACTTAATAATCGGTTGAGTTTTTCTTTTTCTATTTAAAAAAAAAAAAAAAATATGATGATATAGGTAGTGTTAAAATGATCATAGATCGTCCCCTCAGAATTGTAATAATAGCCCACTTACGCTTCATCTCTCTTTCTTTTATTATATTACACAACTGATACGATATGTATATAGCTTACATTTATAAATTTAGTCTTGGGTAATATTGACAGTATTCAAGATGTATCGAGTATACCGAACGAAAAAATATTGTCTATTTACGATTCATGAATTAACATCGTCGACATTGTTGATCGTATATTCTATTGTTTATTAAAGATTTTTCTTATGACAAAATTTAATTAATTTTTAATGTCGACAATATTTTGCGAACATTTTGATACTTCTTCTAAATATTTATAATTTGTTATTTAAATAAAGGATCCGTTTGAATGGTCGGCGATGTTGACCATTTTTTATTTTAAGGGCGAAAAAAATAATGGATTTGATGTATTGTACCATAACATGAAGCATGGTGCAATCGCGAGTAAGGAATTAGCAGAGTTTCTCAGAGAACGATCAGCTATAGAAGAGAATAATTATAAACTCTTAAGTAAAGTAGCAAAACAAGCTAGTAACAGCAGTAGTACCCAAGGTACTTTTGCACCC